ACAGAACCATCTGTTTCGTCCACTTCCTGCTCATCATCTCTGGTGACGTTTTCTTTCAAGACTAACACCCCATTCGGCTTCAAACTTGACCTGAAAGCATGACACAGATTCGGTTTCACCTCATGTAAAGCAAGCATTAATCGACACGTGATCCAATAAGAGACCCATACTTAAAGGCTCGGCGCATCAGTTCGAAAACAAAGTATACTACGAGACATGATGGAAATAATACGCATGAAGGGAGATATGATCGACTCAAGAATTGTTACTTAAGGCGGAGTACCATGCCCATGACTCTAAGATGACTACGTAAAAATGTACATAGAACAGTGTAGTTGTTAAGATTAAGACGGAAAACTAAACGATCGATAGAAATTAATTCTAAAATCGGATTCACCGCGTTCATTAAAATTGAAAAGGACTCCTCGAATCGAAAAGAGTCGGGAAACTCTTGTTTGATCAACACTCACACATTCGCAAAAGAGAGAACGAAAATTTATTTTTAAGCCGTCACTTGGGCATTTTCAAAAGGGATGCTTCATCGGAGACGAGACATTCCGTAAAAACGAGAAAGTGATTCAAGTTACACAGTACTGTACAAGTATAATTTATAAACGAAATACTGTACTCACGTGCACCGCCGCAAGTAATTGACGAGATCTTTGTCCGTAAGATGAGATAACACCCACTGAGTCCAAACGATGTCATATGTATCCGGAGATGGGTTGAAATCTTGTAATCCTGGAACATGAAAACGCCTTAACGAAGGGAACACAAGATAGTGAAGATTTTCTTCGCTGTCGCGATCAGACTTGAACGAAGATTTTCACAGCCAAAATGCTATGACTCACCACAGCAAATGAAATCACCCACGGTTGCAGATTTTTGGAGCTTCTCTTTCGCCTTGTTCAAGAATTTTTCGCATTGCTCCACAAGATCAACTGGACGAATGAAACAGCATGTTTTTCATTACCGGAGCCTGTGTCACTTTCAAAATTCAAGATTTTTCAAACTTAAGGTCACGTAATAATTTTCCGAACTACACGAGCAACTCCCAAGTTTTCAGCTCGAAAAAGAAAAGGACGATCAGATTACCTTAAGAAGCCTTCGCAGGCAATACTGAGAATACGTACAGCACTTTATTAGACTTCACAATGACGGACAATTACCTTTCTTAAATCGATGCTGCAAAAAAAGCTCCGTAATTCTGCCGATCCCAGCGCCACAGTCAACAGCTCTGTCTTTTCCTGGAGGGTCTTCAAGCTGGAAGAGACCCAAATTTGAATAATCAGTGCTCGGTGTATTCAAAAATCAAAGTACGATATTCCCATGTTGACATCTACGAGTAGGAAAAACAAGCAATTGTTTTCCTGTGCTTGATATACAGTTGAGTTAGATTTTAGAATCCTAAAATGTCTTCATTAAGATAAAAAAATCTACGAGAAAGTGTATTGTATCTTTGCTTCGCTCCTGTACATGTCGCCATTGCACAAATCTGGCACGGGTCCTTTCAAACACGAAATACAGTACGGTAAATAGAACCAGCTCCAAATTCGCAACATTAAAAATTGAGAAATGCAGCCAAAATCACAAATGAAGGGCAAACCATTTATTTTTCCTCACACAGCAAAGCTCACCTTGTACAATGTTGCCATGAATTGCTGCGAGGCAGAAATATCAAGTTGAGACAATTTACTAAAACCTCCCAACATAGCATCCACTGTCGGATCACACTGCGTCCAATACTGCGCTCCTTTCGCATAATTCACGTGCCTCTCATCACAAGCATCAGCGTCATCTTCATCGGCAAGATGATCAACAATCGCTCCCATGCTGTTGGGCAATGTCATCTGAAAAGCGGAAAATACGAGCAGCTTCTCAGAAAAACAGGCCATCTTCTTCAACTTTTTTCTTCACCTTTAACACGATCTTTCATCAATTAACATAAATCTGATTCATACGCTTGAAAACTACATTTAGAGACTAGCCTGTAGACATTCCTTTTGAAACTTCATCCCTCAGAACCGGACAACATAAAAATATGAGCAACTTCTAACTCAGCTTTTGTTCACTCGAATGGCCGAATCAAATTTAAACCTAGGTTTTCGAACAACGTCAAACTTCGCTTTCTGGAATGTCAAAACGTGTGTCACCTGATTCCTTCAATCAATACCCTGCGCTGTTGGCCAAAAATAAAAATTTGTGCAAACTTACATGACCTAGTCTCAACTACTCTGACACTTTCAGAAGTACAGCACAGTTACAAAAAAAAAACATAAGATTCGTGCGAAACCCGTGCGATAATTAATATATGAGGACATTGCGGAGATCCAGGTTTCAGGTTGAAAGAAACCAAACTTCACAGGGCATTATTCAGAAATTATTCGAGAATTACTATTCAGACAATACAAAGGTCACCGAGACCCACAATCATTTCAATGCTGAAATAGAAGAAGAGAAGGAAAAAATCTGTATGATGAAACAGGGAAAGAACTCGAAAATTCGCATATAATCAGCGTGAAACCTTCATCGTTTTCCGAACGAATATTAACAGACATTCGAAGTGACAGTATCAGACGCATGATCACGGAAACGCACAAAAGATTCCATCCAAAAACAATGCCCGACAGGATCAAGTAACAAAGATAAACAGCAACACCAGCGATGTCAAGCCTTTCAGTGATGCAGAACGATCCGTCGATTAAAACGGAGTCCCAGTCCAGCGTAGCGTTAGACTGGGACATGTTAGCTTTAGCCAAGGTTGGTTCATACTGTCAGTGCTCATCAATGCTCCGAGTAGCCACAAACCTCAGTCTTCAGAACTTCGACATTTTTGCGAAACCCGTCCTCTAAGGAAAGGTGCAGGGTGGCTTGTGGGTTGGGGTTCACGTAAAGAGAACCAACCTTGGCTAAAGCTAACATGTCCCAGTCTAACGCTACGCTGGACTGGGACTCCGTTAGCCAACGCCCTGTTGGTTCTCTTTAACGTGAATATTTAGAACCGGGTTGAGCAAGAAAGTCGTGCATCAACCATAAGAGACAGAAAGACTGTCAAAAAGGAAAAAACTCCAATTGGAAAGAACCAAAGGTATAATACATGTCAACCCAAATACACAATGATCATACATACATGACAATTCCCTGGAACAATAAATGATTCCAAATACATGACACACCAAATCACCGTAAAGAAAAAAGTAAATTTTTGTCCTGGAAAAATGTCTTCAGGACTGAGGCTAATCTTTTTTCAAATCCCTTTAAGCATAAGATTTCCACCTGAAGGAACAATTGTACGTTTGTAATGTCGGGTAAAAGTAGACTCTTTTTGCCAGCCAGTCATATGAGCTATTTGGTCGAACGATAAATTGTTCGCATTGGCAAAGCTAGCAGCTGCAGCTCTGGTGGAACCAGCTGAAGCAATAATGCCTGCTCTTCGCAATGTTGAGATAAGCCAGGAGCGGAGTGTGGCCTTTTCCACTCTGTCCCCATTGTCGGATCTCACAAAAAGAAAATTTGAGCGATTGGGAAAATCTCTGGTTTCCTCAAGATATTTCCCAATGAGAAAGACTGGACAAGTTCTACTGTTAGGAAAAGACATGACTGAAAGACCATTCCTGGGGTGTGCAATTTTTCGAGATGTTTTCTGCTGTTCTAAAAACGGAATAAAAGAATTCCTTCCTTGAGAAAAAATTGCTGCTCCCATTTTCCATAAATCATCTACACGTGCTCCTGTAGCCAAGGCTAAAATTGTCAATGTTTCTTGTGCTAGCATGGCCCGTGTAGTTGGAAAAGGTTGAGCAGCAATAAAATCAATGACAATTTGTGCATTCCAAGTATTTGCCCGAGGGGTAAAGAGTCTACAGGAATTCTTTGCCCCCATCATGAATTGCTTCAGAAGAATAGAGTCAATGACAAAGTCAGGACGGTGAAAACGCACTGCCTTGACAATTGCATTTTGTAGAGTGCGAACATAGGAAAAAGAATATTTGTTAGAAACAAAATCGCTCAAAAAATCAAGTATAGTAACGGTTTGAACCTCCTCAATACTAATATTGCGGTTGAGGAGGAATTTTCCGAATCTGAGTGCAAAAGAATTGTACACTCGGACGGTAACTGGTGAAAGTGAAGCTTTGATAGTAGCTCGAACTTGCTCTGGCACATTTGTCATTTCAGGAAAAAGGCCGAGCATTGGAGTGGCATTTTCTGGAGTCTGTGGACCATATCTGGATGTTGTGGAAGTCTGAGGCTCTTGGCAGCTATGGGTAAATTGATGTAATTTTGTCGATGTTGAATNCTTCAACTTTTTTCTTCACCTTTAACACGATCTTTCATCAATTAACATAAATCTGATTCATACGCTTGAAAACTACATTTAGAGACTAGCCTGTAGACATTCCTTTTGAAACTTCATCCCTCAGAACCGGACAACATAAAAATATGAGCAACTTCTAACTCAGCTTTTGTTCACTCGAATGGCCGAATCAAATTTAAACCTAGGTTTTCGAACAACGTCAAACTTCGCTTTCTGGAATGTCAAAACGTGTGTCACCTGATTCCTTCAATCAATACCCTGCTGGCCAAAAATGAAAAATGTTGTGCAAACTTACATGACCTAGTCTCAACTACTCTGACACTTTCAGAAGTACAGCACAGTTACAAAAAAAAAAGGCATAAGATTCGTGCGAAACCCGTGCGATAATTAATATATGAGGACATTGCGGAGATCCAGGTTGAAAGAAACCAAACTTCACAGGGCATTATTCAGAAATTATTCGAGAATTACTATTCAGACAATACAAAGGTCACCGAGACCCACAATCATTTCAATGCTGAAATAGAAGAAGAGAAGGAAAAAATCTGTATGATGAAACAGGGAAAGAACTCGAAAATTCGCATATAATCAGCGTGAAACCTTCATCGTTTTCCGAACGAATATTAACAGACATTCGAAGTGACAGTATCAGATGCATGATCACGGAAACGCACAAAAGATTCCATCCAAAAACAATGCCCGACAGGATCAAGTAACAAAGATAAACAGCAACACCAGCGATGTCAAGCCTTTCAGTGATGCAGAACGATCCGTCGATTAAAACAAAGCGCGACACTTCCACGAAAAGATTTTTTAAAACAATACATTAATTCTCACCCCATATCGCTACGAAACGCGAGGAAGGCAACACAGGCCTTTTCATCTTCTCCTTCAGTGATTTTTCATCGGTTTTCACGGAATGATTTTGGAAGTGGTTAAAGGCAAGTTAATCAATTTTTATTTCAGCGGGAGAGAACGAAATCTGGCGGCATGCAATCTTGGCTAAAAATGTTGCGCTTGAATATTTTGGCGGGCATTCTCTTCTTGAACAGTAGCTCTGCTCACAAGATCGAAAGTACCACAACGGAGGTGAGTTGCACAGCAATTTCAAACTTTCGAAGACACTGATATGAAGCTGAAATACTTCCCAAGATAAGGGATTATTCAGCAGGAAATTAAAATGCATATGCGAGTGCTATTTTGCTTTTACATCCATCAACAGCTTCATCAGGATGAGACCAGTAACTTCAGGACTGTACATATAATTAGGAAGGAAGTGATTTATTGAAAATTATATTTTTCTTCGCAAAAAAAACTCAATTGGAAAATTCCCTTCATCAGCCCAGCGTTTCTCTCAGGATTCTCCAATTTAATGAGTCATAAACGCCGAAGATTCTTGATCGGGGTTAATCAACGATCAACAGAAATTTCCCCATTCCTTGATACATTTTTGTTCGAATGGCACCTGATCATTAGGAAGACGGGGTAATTTCTCGAAGAAATCAGCGATAGCTCATTTTCCAATTGAAAACTCGGAAAACGGCATCGTCGAGTCAAGATTCAGCTTGTCATCAAAATATTCATTGATTCTTCAGAAAGAGTCTAAATCTACAGTACCTATGAAATCGATTCCTCGATTTTTTTTTAGATTATACAGGTATCCCACATGGTTTTGTGAGCTACTTGGTGCATAAAATTGCCAACATCTCCGGCAAGAATACGTCAGGGGAATTCAGGGGGAAAAGAATTAAGCAGATCGGTGCGATTTTTCCCCTGACCGGACGAAAACCAACACTTTTAATTCTTTGCCAAGCCTCGTGGAACAATTTTATGCTTCTTCGCAGACAACGTCTAAAAATGACTGGCAACAAAGACTGGATGCTTTGACAAATGATTTCGAGGAGCAAAACCTAATTGTCAAACAGCTCAACAACATAGTTCAAAATCAAGAAACGATGGCATTCGAGATGAAAGAAGACCTTCGCGTTTTGAAAATAAGCATGAGAAATTTCGAAACGATCGCTCGTCGGTTCACGAACAACGACGATACGAACCGGGTACTGGAGTACGGCGAGTTCCAACAGAAACTCGGTTCAATTACCTCGGACAACGAAAAACGGTTCCACTTGAACTCGTTGAGAGTTCAAAAGCTGGAAAACGAACTCAAAGAAGCGTTGGAATCTATGAAACCTGCGGGCGATCAGGAGAACGCCGTTACGGGTGAGAAAGATAATAAAAGGTAATTCCATTTTTGAAAAATGAATGCCTATTTTTATAAGAAATCATGCGAATTGCGCTTCATCCGCAGTTGACGCTGAAGTACTGAGAACATGCGCAGACCTTAAGCGTCAAAAGGCGGCAAAAAGTGGCTTGTACAACATAGACCCGGACGATAACGATCAAGGACAACCGAGCTTCGAAGTATTCTGCAACGCAACTTCAGGTCTGTAAAATCTTGAACGGACGCACTGCCTTGCACAGGTCTCATAATTCCATCATTTAACATATCGTTAACGAGAACGCGTAGCCGCAGATTAACCATGCAATTCCTGATCGCGAATGCGGAATTCTTGATTTTCATTCACTCATCGTCATCTGCCAGGAGAAACTGTGATCCATCACGATCTCGTCGGCGAATTTACTGCGAAAAACTGCCGCCGAGGACGCTGCCAAGAAGCGAAAAATATCACTTATGGGAATTTGTCAATGTTACAAATGGAAGCACTCATTAACCATTCGGAAAAATGCTACCAAGAAATAGTCGTGAGTTTTTCAAACTTTTCATTGCAATTAACCAGTATGTGTAATGCACACTGAGAGGATTCCCAAGAAGTGGCACGCCACACCTGAAAAAAGTAATACCGTATTACAGGTAGGCTCTCTCTCGAAAACGAAATTCAAGAGACCTGACAAAAATATTCAAAAAAAAGGGACCAAAAAATTATTCGTTACGCAGAGACTGTTACTCTATAATCATCTTGTTGTGGACAAGATGATTGTAGAGAGAGTCCACCTGCATTACCAAGTGTACTTTTCCGAAATTAACAGGAAGAAACAAGAGTGAACGCATCAGAGCGAAATTGACATTTTAAAAGTTTAAGGAGCCCGTCATACTTGATTCTAATAGGAAAATGTGATCAATTTTGAGGGGAAAAAAATTTTTAGAATGGAAAAAATTACGAATTACCGTACTGTAGTACAATTTGGGTCCAATTCAAGTGAAAATTAAATTTCTGAGTCGCTTCATTTCCAATATACAGTATTGCAGCTTCTCTGTCACTAAAAATAGGGTGCGCATCTAACTCTATGATTGGTTTTTATTCAGATTTTAGGAGGAAAAAATCAGGTGCGCTCGTGGTAATTGAGTACCATATATACGATAGTGACCCTCGTATTTTCATCGGGAACTCTTTTATAAAATGATGAAAATACGGATCTTCTAGAATCTAGACTGGATCCATCTTCCGGCTTTCCTTTTTTTCAGTATCACTGCTTCGGAGCACCTCTGCACAATAAAGATATGTCCACGACTGCGTGGTGGATTGATAGGTTTGGACAAAAGCAAATGTACTTTCATGGAACGGGGACCGATGCCGAAAAACCTTGCACGTGCTCGCAACAGGGAGACTGTATTGACATCGAAAAGAAGTGTAACTGCGATTCTCGAGCGCCGGAATGGCAAAAAGATCACGGCACAATTAGCAACAAATCATCACTTCCCGTTACCCAGCTCGTGTTCAAGGGGCTCAAATTCTCATCGCAGGTACGAAATCGTTTTGACCTTCTTGGGGTCAAGAAAGAAATCACAATGTTCTCCAAACATGGGACAAGTTTTAAAGCTTTTTGCTTAATTATTCATTAGATTTCATTTTCAGGATGTTTTCTGTAGAGTGAATTGAGTAAGTTTAGCTCGATTTTTGTCAAGGGTAGAATGAACGGCAAAATCCAGACTTGGCGCTGTCTAAACTCCGGAATTGTTTGTACCTGCTAAAATAATAGCCCCAGTCACACGCGTGCAAAATTAAAACTGCAATTTAGACTGCATACTTGAAATATGGATCCTAAAATTATCTTGATTCGGGCCAAGTTTCAAAATAACAAGGATACATTTTTCGGTCATTTTTCATGCTTTAAGCATTACTTCAAACACGGTTTATGTTATCATTACCAATTTCGTTAAATGTAAGGTATGTATGCGTTCTACCAAGATTTGATGGCTTCGAAGCTGACTTCTCGTAGGTAAAGTAATTTTTCAGACTCTCCACAGTTGATTAGAAGTACTGTAGACTCAAATTAAAAATGTTCACAATTTATTCAGAAGGCACACTTCACGCTCGGACCACTGCGTTGCTCCGGGTATCAGAAAAGCGTTCCAGCCAAAAATTCCGTCACATCTTGCACGGATGTAC